ACATTTTCGTTATTTTTAACTATAAATAGTTTGAAAAATGATACATTTTCATCATCAAAAGAATCCATGCATTTTATCTATAAGTTGCATTCGAATCCATGATTCATCCAGTCAAACTTTTGTTCGAAAACATATAGATTACTTGTCGTGATTCCTTTTGAATTACATTAGATTAAAGGTGACAATTTAGATTCTCACATTGTATTTTTGTCAATTATCAAAAACCATGCCAATTACAAGTTTACGGCTCCATTTACTTTGTGAATTAACAAATTATTAATTAATTAATTCTCCATTGTTTTCTAAATTGATAATATGATTTAAGTGTTTTTTAGTATACAAATCAGTGCTAAATTTGAATATATTTATAAAAAAGTTGTAATTTGAGAATAAATAAAAAAATTATAGGTAATATGATTTGAAATTTACATTTATTTTTAAAGATAAATATATAAATCAATTAAACTAAACACTGAATTTTTAAATTTTTTTACTAAACTAAAATAAAATAAAATAAACATAAATGAAACAAGGGTTATTACTAATTAGTAATTGCCTTTGCATTTCTTTTGACAAATCACAGCAAATTGTTGGGCAATGTGGGTGAAGAAAATGAAGAGAAAATGGGGCAAAATACAGAACAAAAACACACAAGGACGGAGGGGAAGCAAAAAATTGTTGGGAAGTGTGGGGACAAAGAGTTAAACAAAAGTGAAAGCAGTTAGCTTTTGAGTAATCGGGCGGTTGGGCCATTGGAGTCAACCTGTTGTCAGGTACTAAACGTACCATTTATCACCGCATCAAAGTGGGCAGCCGGACAGCTGAAAACACGAGAGAGATGCGGTTGAATAAATTTGAGTTAAAATTTTAGTTCTCGTCATTTTTTTTTAATTTTAATTAAGACCTTATTTATGAAAAAATAAATAAATACTATGACATGTGACTCAAAACATTGCATAGTTACATGTGATATTCATTAATTTTTATCTACAATAATGAAATGAAAATGACATTTTATATTGGAATTAATGAGTGGTAAATCATTGTCTCAACCCCTAGGGCATACTCCTTTTTATTCCTTGGCCAAAGATTTTATTACACGGCTTAATTACTTCTATACTACTAGAATGAATAGAAACTATCAAATAGTTAGTAATCTTTTACTTTCAATGCACCATTTCTTTTAGTGTTTTATTTTTGTTTATATTTTTTATGGGTTCATGTTATATATGACAATTTAAATAATGATAAAATATTTAATATAATATTTGAATTTAAAAAATTTTAATATGATATTTTAATTATAAATCTGTTAATTAATATGATTTTTAAAAAATTACTTATGCATCACGTATCATTATTTAATCATATTAAATATGAGTATCATATTAATTAATAGATTTATATTTTAATATCATATTAAAAGTTTTTAAATTTTAAATGCCATTAATAATTTAAAAGGTATTTATAATATTAATTTTTTTATTTAAAAAAATAAAAGAGAAACGAACTTTGCTTTGCTATCTTTTTTTTTTTTATTAACAGAGAAATACTAAGGCTCTATAAGAAAATATTTTTGTTTTTTTTTTCATTTTTTAGAAAATAGTTTTTGTTTTTTTTATTTTCTAAAAATGTATTTGGTAAATAAAAATAAAAATTATTTTTAAAAAATGAAAAAAATAAATAAAAAATATTTAATGATATTACTATTAATGGCATTTAATTAAACTTGCTCATAGGTCAGGCCAAATCTTGCATGATATTTTAACATTTTAAGCAAGCTCAGATCGAGCCCTACCTAATTTTTCAAGTCTCATTTTTTGTCTAAACGTGTTTTTATATGTAATAATGAAGTCAAAGTTTGCCTAAAGCATTGGTATTTAAAATTTGAAAATTTTTTTTAATTATTAATTTAATTAATTTTAATTGAATCTATGAGTTATTGGATTTTGATTCAATTTAATTTTGTTGAATGCAATTTAAAATTGGATTATTATTTTATATAAAGAAAAAAATGAGTTTTATCATATTATAAGTAATAAAATAAATGACCTTTTATCCATTAAAAAAAATAAGTTTTGTCTCGTTATGATAAAAAATATGTTTTTAACTTTCAGGCTTGGTTGGACTCAAGCCTTAAATAATGAAACCCAAGTCTAATTCTATTTTTTAATTGGGTCTCATTTATTTGTTTAAATTTATTTAATGAGTTTAATATTTATGTCTAAATCTTTTTAAAATTTCAAATAAACTTTTGAGTTAGGATGGGTCACCTAGCTCATGAGCAAGTCTACATCTAATTATAAATATAATATATATTTATTAATTAATAATATTAAGTATGCAAATATGATAACCGGTAAAACACAAAGAAAAAAGTAATACACATCCCCTTGTTTTTGTAATGAAAAACATCTTCTTTTTTTTCCATATTTCAATCCATTTTCAATTTTGTTTTTCAAAAATTTATTTTCATTTTCAATTATCAAACACATTTTCAATCATATTTTTTATTTTTTAAAAAATAAAAACAAAATATGATTTTATTTTTTAAACTAAACACTACCTTAAGTTTTCTAGTGGATTCAGTGCCTATTTTCCTAGAAAGTAGCCCAATGTAGCCTTCAATTATTGGAGGTCCAACAAGGCTTCAAAGGAGATACTCATCTTTATCTTGGCCTATTATTAGAGAAGACTTGGATCTCTTATCTGTTCAACAGTCCATCTCATGGCTACTCGAGCTTAAACCCCCCCCCCCCCCCCGCGCCCCCCCTTTTTATGGCCCTTTGCCTGAGAGATGGAACCAAAATCATTGTCCATTGATTGGTCGCATCTCTACAATTTTCAGCTTTTTTTTTTCTTCGATTCTCTATCCAACCTTTCTCTTTGTTTATACAGTCTCTGATCTCATAAACAAATAGTAAATAATAATAATAATTGAGAGGCGGCAGGGCATGTCTTGATTTGTAGAATTTTATATGGCAAGTGTAAATTTGTAATGATGACCACATTTTCTTGCCAATTATATCAATGAGCAAGTTAGGACCAAACAAATAACTGCTGTAAAAAAAAAGTCAAGATAAATGCAAAAGCTTTATCTTATAACATTCGACAGCTGAAAAAAAAAACATATCACTTATAATTTTTTTATTATAATATTATAATTATTCAGTTAAAATAAAAATTTATACAGAGACTCGTCACTTATAAATATAAATCTTACATAATTTTAAATTATAATTAATTAATTATAATATAATTTTTATAAATAATATGTTTTTGAAACAACATACTCTTACCTTAAAAAATACAAAAAAAAAAAAAACGTTAATACCATTGAAGTAACAGTTTATGGTTGTTGATGTTTTTAAATCTCGTTTCAATGGCTGCTTGTCGAGATTGATAGTTCAGTTTGTGATAATTAGCACTTAACCTTGTTTGTCAAGCTCTCTTATGTCACATTTCCAGGTTCTGGTTCATTTTTTCCATGGTTTGATTAGAGCCTTGAATGCTGTTATGATTTGCCTTTTTATTCTTGGGGTTGTTCATTTTGCATTTATAGTGCCCGAAGTAGTTAAATTTTCAGCAGCAACATTTGGGCGTCTTTTATCTGGCAAAGGTGGCAAAATGCAAAGCCAATCATAACTTAACTGACTACTATTTCTGGGCCAAGGTTAACAATAGGTTTGGATGGGAAATTGAATGTACTGGATTTTAATGTGTTTTATCTCTGGGCTTTAGCTGTCCTGATTTATCTTTGCCAACTAAGAAACAAAGGGAGAAAAACTGTAAAATCAAGTTCACAAAGGCCATTGCTTTGAGACCTCCTGACCCTTTCAGCTTTCTCCAAGGTTCCATTTTCATGTTTCGAACAGAGAAAATAGCATCGTGCTCATGGGGGATCATATTCATAGCATTCTCGGCCTCCATTACCGTTTGAAAAGCAATGTCAGTTCTAGAAATCAAGGGCATCCACTCGTTTTGATTGACTAGATTTGATCCAACTATTGACCTTGTTAATGTTAGCAGGGTCCCAAAATTAAGTCGTTATGAATTGAAACAGTAGTAAACAAAATTGCTGATATAAAAAACTTTTCTCTGAGCTATATCTTAGATTAACATTAACTTATTAAGCGTTCAAACTGAGGATTCTGTGAATTTTGGTTGTAGGAATGGTCGGTTTACACTTTCAAGGATCTTGTCTTCTGTTTCATATATTTGTCTATGTTTCTTACATATCTACTAACTGTGATCTGAGGTCTGTTTGAAACACGTAAATTGGAGCCATAATTTTGTTGCTAGTTAATGTCATTTTCCCACTTTGTGGACATGGTGATTCAGGTTTGTTAGGAGTTTTTCTTCTCGTATAAACTTTTATTTTATTTTTTTAAAATAAGTTACGTGAGAATATGAAAAAAGATTGCAGATGTTGAAATTCAAATTTAAGACCTGTTAAATATCATCTTTAAAGACTCAAGCTCAATGCAAGGTAAATTTCGCTGGCCAAATGTAAATTATTCTTAAGAGGACTGCTAGAACAGGATAGGAAATTTACTCTTGCAATTTATTACCAAATGGTTTTGAAAGAAATTAAGTTTATTTGCTTTTAATGTTCCATGTGATGGGTGCAGTTAATTTGTGGTCACAAGCTAAACCCAGTTATAATTAGATAGTCATTTGCAGGGTTCTCCTTTTAACTTTTTCCCAATTATGTACATGTTTATTATATAATTCATAACTGATGGAGAAACAGGAAATGGCATCTCCGTTCTATATTCCAAGCAAAAAACAAAAGGGAAGAAAATGAAAATCTTTTTTAGTTTTGTTATTCTTTGGTTCCTTAGTTGCTTTGCCTTTTCTATCTTCATCTTCAAACTTTATAATATTAGAATAAAAATAATTGCAAATAAACCAAACCATTTTACAAGCTGAAACAGAAAACAGACCATTTTTGCAAATTTATCTCATTACTTTTTTTTTTTTTTTGTTTCCTTTTTCTTTCTCCAAAAAACCTCTCCTTCCTACAACAAACTGTATCTCACAAAGCAGAAAAAACACTTTTTTTTTTTCATTTTTTCATTCCCATTTTCCCACCTCTCTCTTTCTAGTAGTACTAGCGGTTAAGAAGTCTAATATTATTTAACAGCTGGTGCCAACAGCATGAAATGCCTTGATTCACCAATCCTCCATGCTCAGCTCATGACACAACTTATTGAAGAACACTACCATTCATGTAGCCTTTTGTTCCCCTCCTTTCCCCCACATTTTCTATCCTCTCTCTTTCTCCCATCCTGTGCTTTTTGTTTTCATTTTGGTCCTGATCACCTTAAAAAACACACCCAAAGCTACTATGTAACAATAATAAACATATAGGAGTATTGATTATCTTGATGTTCATCAGTTTTACAGCTCCACTTCATAGGGTCTGTTCATCTTTCTCCTTTTGGTATTGGGACTGGTATGTGTGTGTGAAGAATTTGCACATGACCCAACTGTTGTGTCATCACTTTTATAGCTCAAGCATGCGGCATCCAGCACCCCAATTGGGCTCTGAGGCACAGATGGGTCAGATGCATTTCTTTCCTTAACAGACCCACCAACTAATGACAAATCATGAACCAATTCCACACACTTCAGCACTCTCTCCTGCAAAAAAAAAAATAAAAATCAATAAACCCTCTCTTGATTCAACATAATGAGCAAGTAATCAAACACAAAATAATATAATAAACAGCAAAATCAATAATATATGTTCCCTCTTTTTAGTTTGGATTTTAGGCCACCAACTTTACCTTTTGTACATGCTGAGTGAGAACAGAAATTGCTTTATCAGTGTCCACTTTTCTGGTTTCTACAGCAACAGATATTGCTACTGCTGCTGCAATCTCAGAAGGCTTGAATTCCAAGAAGTCAATCCCTGCATTCAATTCCCACCGACCAATAACATCAGATCCCTCTCAAACCTCTCCTTCATATTTGTGACCGCTCCAGACAAAAGAAAATTATTGCAAAAATAGTACACTTGTCTTTGTTCAACTGTGAGGAACTGAAAAGGACCTTTTATTGTGCTTGAGATGAGTTGGGTTGATCTCAAGATTGAGCTTCTAAGTGGGATTTTATCATCATTGAGCTTGTAAAAGAAATAGTCCATGAAGGAGAATGGGGTGATTGCTTGCATTCTCCAATTCAAGGTGCTCAACACTAGAAGCTCCATTCTTTGTATGGTTCTAGCTTCAAACATAAATTTAGATTCTCCCACCTGTTAACGCTCAGAATCATCAAAACTATAGCTAGATCAAACCAAAATTTAAACACCTAAGAAAACTATTAACTCTGATGGATTTTAACCTGTAAATCTAAAATCAATGGAACTTCAGTCTCCTCCTTTTTAGCAGCAAGAGATAGACATGCCACGGCTAGTAATTGCATCATCCAAGCTTTACCCTTCTGCATCATCCGAGATCGGATACAATTAAGTAAATGGAGTTTGGTGCAAGGGTAGGGTAAGACCGAAAAAGAAAAATCTCATGTTTGATTGGTTTTTGAACTTACGGGTAATTCATAGGCTGAGAGAAACCTGTCCAAGTAATTTATCGATAAATAAGCACAAAGAGGTCCAAAACCGTAATAGGCATGAACCTGTTGAACAAACAGGGCAATTAAAATCAACAATGAGAGAAGCTCAAAAGAAAGGAATGATGAAGGCAAATAATTGAATCGAACAGGAAAGGAAGCATAACAGTTCATACACTACAATAAGGACTAAAACGAGAAAGGGATTATACAAAAAGCAGAAACAGTGTGAAGCCGCTGAGAAAGAAATGAAGAGATGAATACAATTCACAAATCAGCATTGGCCCCAATAGCAAAAAAGAAAAAGAACCCACCAAAAACATATCAGATTACGAAAAAAAAGATACCAAAACAAAGAGAAAACCAGACCCAGTTCATTTCATCGACCTCAAGGAGTTTCGAAAACATAATCAGGATTAATCCAAAAAGGGTTTGCTCAACAAAGCACAGAGGAAAACCATATAAATCTGGGATCTAAACCAAGACTTTAACTCTCAAACAATCCTAATATTGACAGAAAAAGTCCTATATAGTGAAATAAAACACTCACTCTCTAAAGACTCATAAATGTGAAACCCACCTTCCAAATCCAATCAACAGCTTCTTTTCTAGCCTCCAAGTCCAAATCTCCACTTTGTAACCTCTTCAAGTAATCAACATTAGGCAAATGCTGATATTCTTTCTCAACCATCAGAGCCAAACACTCCTCACTCTGCAATGGCAACCCATCTTCATCAACACCATTCAAGACTCGGTTTTGATTCAAGTTTTGAAAAAATCTATGATTCCATGTTGCCTCAAACTCTTCCAGCTCAGCATCTCCACCAAAGTAATCATTATCATAAAAAATGCTGTTGTCGTCTTCTGCACATAGAAGACTCGAAACTGCACAATCAAAACTTGGTGCCATTGCAGACAAAAAAAAAGGAACTCTCTCTTTATCTTATTTTCTAAACAAGAAATGGTAATAAAAGCGTGGGTTGTCTATTTATATGTGAAAATTATTTTCCTTTAATCAAAGAATTGAAGAACAAAGAAATGGTTTTTTAAGGGTATAATAATATCTGTAAGAATGTAAACAAATTCACTAAGAGGGAATGAAGCTGAAGCAGTCTCCTCTCTCTATCTCTTCCTCTGTCAGGCTTGAGGGCTTGAGGGGTTTGAAAAGACTGCCCAAGAGGAGGGTCTCTTAAGAAGGAAATCAGTACCCTTTTTACGGTAAAAGCAAGAGAGAGAGAGAGAGAGAGGGAGGGCATACTGATATGAGAATCAGAAAGAAAATGTAATGTAAGCGCAAAATAGGGACACCAACAAGGGCAAATACAAGATTTTCATTAAGAAAGAGAAGAGAGAAGAAGGGTTATTGCCTGTGCATTAAGATGTCTTAGTGCTTTTGAGCTTTTCTTCCTTTACTCGTTTACAGCAAACTGAGGATTAAGTAATTTTTTTGTCTGTTTTGCTACTTGTATTATAAAATTAGCTGTCATCAATTCTTTTTTCTTCTTTCATAATCATGGGAATTTTGTAAATTCATGACCCCATCTTTCTGTCAAAATTCTTTGAACGTCAGAGAAAATAAACTTATCCAACATAGAAACATTTGCCTTCTAATATCATTGTTTTGGCTCCAAAAAATCTCATGGAAAATAAATTTCCATGAATACTACCTTTACCATCGATGGTTTGTCAATATATCACATGTTACATTTCTTAACTTCATATTTACCTTTCTACCTGGAAGGCGACGATGAAGAAGAAAAGACAGGTCTGGTTTTGTAATTTGGACCAAAGTGGTAGGACAAGATTGTAAGATGGAACAAGGTAAAAGTGATCAATGGGACCTTGACCCTGTCTTTTTCGTCCCATGCTGACGCGTGTCATCTGATTTTTCAGATGATGACTGGAAAAATCCGTTTCTTGCAGACATTTACAATAATACTGTCTTTTTTGTCTTTGGACTTTTATATACGTACTTTGTACAGAAAAAAGTATAATCTTTTTCCCTTTCATACGCTTGCAGTCGTGAAATTTTAACCCTTTTTCTTTTTTACTCTTATGCGGGTAACTCTCAAATGCTTTGGAATGTACCATTTCAGTAACAGTTCATCCATGGCAGTTTTATACCATTTTATTTTTGGTATCTATTACATTTTGGAATTTTATGCGTTGAATTGTTTGGAAGACAGGAAATATTTTGCAATTTGGTCAAATTCTGTACATTTGGTATGGTTGTTTACTTAATTTGTAAAAAGTGAAATTTGTTTCCTAACATTGTGGTTCTATAATTGCCCATTTTTTGGGTATAGTTTCAGTGAATATCGTGTGATCGATCTTCTAAAGACAAATTCCAAAGATTTTCTTTGGCAATATTACTCTTTCAAAGTTTTTTTTTTAATATATATATATATATATAAAGAATAATTTAAGGATAAAAAAAGTTAAGAAAGTTAAGTTTTGATTCAAGTTAAATGTTAACTTTTAAAAAAAATTATATAAATAAATTGAATTAAGTTTTGGATTCAATATAACCTTTTTGAAGTTGTAGTAAGATAAATCATTCAAACATAGATGAAACTTAATGCAACCATATCCTTGTATAATTTCCATACCTAGTTATTTGTAATTAAACATGTTAGTGCAAATATTGAAAATATAAAATTACTGTTTTTGGTAAATCTAAAATTTTGAGAAAAAGTTTTAAGGCATGCAACTGTGTCACTTTTTTTAATGTTTTATTTGTCTCCACCGTATTATTTACTTAGTAGGTATGCAAAAGGGTTATAGGCAATAAATCTTAAGAATATAATAAAGCTCAGTGACTGACTGTATTTTGCAGTGACGAAATTAGACTACCAACCAATCACCAGCATATCACAAGATAACTGAACTTCTATAAAAAATTTTACAGTTAAATTTTTTTAAAAGAAGTCTGAAGTTTGAAAAAATAGGAAGAGTTCTAAAAATTATTTATGTATCTTCTTTAGAAAACTAGAAGAGTCTTTTATAAATACATAAGTATATTTTCCTATAAACATGATTGCCTATTTTGAATAAAAAAAATTGTATGTTTTTGAACAGTTGAAACTGGTCATTTTGAATAGACTTATCTGTCTGTTTTAAACAAATTTAACTATCTGTCTTTATTTTTTCTTTTTTCTTTTTTAATGTGAGATTATTTCTCGTATTTTATTTTGAAAATCTCTAACAATCCTTACCATTTTCAAAATAATCTAGATTTATGATAACTTTGAAAATCAATTGTATAAACGAATGGATCTTTCGATTTGAACCTTTATTTAATGAAAATAAGATAAAATTAACCGAAATCGCATGATAGATTATGCCTTAAACTAGTTATTCTATTTAGCTAAATGAACTTATCTCACATAATGTTTTCAACACCCAATGAATGCTTAATATCCAAAGACACATTTATGGCTATGTGTTTACATCCTTTTTTCATGAGTGCTATTAGAGCCAAAGTTTTAAGCTCTTAGAAGCGATCACACTTCACAGTTACATAGGTAACTCTTATCAAAAGTGTTCTCTCAATTATAATACTCTAATATATTTATGTTATGAGTCTATTAACAGTATATTACTCATCTTTTCTTTACCATTATAAGTATCTAACACTTTACCTGAGATGGTATTAAACATTACTATAGTGCTAGCAGTCATATATAGATGATATACTTTGTTTCATTGAACTTAAGACTTAACATTATACCAAGTATTGAGTCAAGTTTCCATCATGGTGACTTTATTTCATGAGCTTGAGCCCCATCCTTATTGAGATATTTTTTACCAAGTCTCTAGCAAGATTTTTGGTTGAAGGATCTGTCAAGTTTTCACTTGATCTCATCTCTCTATCTAAAATTAATTGTCATAACTATGTCTTAATCCAATATATTTAAAATTTTCATTATATACTTAGCTATATGCCCTTGCTATAGTTGTTTCACTATCATATCGAATAGAAATTGGAAAATTTGGTTTAGGCTATAAAGGTACTTCATATAATAAATTTCTTAACCATTCAACTTTTTTAACTATTACGACTAATGCAATAAACTTGGTTGCTATGGTGGAATCAGTTTTGCATATTTGCTTTTTGGAATCCCAATAAATGGCACCCCTACCAAGTACAAAGATCCACTTGCTTGTAGAAGCATGATCTTTTATATTAGTAATCTAACTAACATCATAATATCCTTATAGAACTGAAGCATATCTACTATAACACAATCCATAATTGATTGTTTTCTTCAAATATCTAAGTACTCTTTTAACTGCTTGTCAATGCAAATTACTTGGATTACTTGTGTACTTACTCAGCTTTTCAACAACAATTGCTATGTCTGGCCTTGTATAAATCATTGCAAACATCAAACAACCAATTACTCTAACATATTACAATTGATTTATTGTTCTACTAGTATTATATACTAATTTCAGTTGAAAATCCATGGGTATAGATACTGAAAATATAATAAAAAAGATCAAACTTTTTAAATGCTTTTTCAATATAATGCGATTGTGATAAGATTATGTCATTATCATTTTGGATTATTCAAATTTCAAGAATAACATTCACTACACCCATATCTTTCAATGAAAAGTTATTTAATAAAAATATTTTTATTTTCTTAACTTGTTCTAAATTAGTGTCAAATATTAGCATATCATCCACATATAAGCAAATTATGACTCATTTGCCATTTTTAAATTTGCTATATATGTATTTATTTGACTCATTAATTCTAAAACCATTAGCAAGAACGATTTCATCAAATCTTTGGTGCCATTATTTTAGTACTTGCTTAAGTCCATACAAGGACTTTACAAGCTTACAAACCTTGTGCTCTTGACCTGGAATGATAAATCCTTTCATTTGTTTCATATATACTTCCTCTTCTAATTCACCATTTAAAAATATCGTCTTTACATTCATTTGATGTATAATCAAATTGTAAATCAAGGCAATGAAATTAAAAGCCTAATTGTAGTAGTTCTAGCTACTGGAAGCATAAGCATCAAAGTAGTCTATCCCTTACTTTTGTGTAAAGCCCTTGGCTATCAACCTTGCTTTAAATTTATTTATGGTTCCATCCACCTTCATTTTTTTTTTTTTGAAAATCCATTTACAGCCTATTAGATTATAACCGGATGGAAGGTTAACCAAAACCCAAATGTTATTTCCCATTATTGAGTCCATTTCATCATTTATTATTTCTCTAAAAAAAGTAAAATCTTGAGACTTCATTGCCTTTTCATATGTAATAGGATCAAACTTCGCATTAAAACAATAAGAAATTTTATTGTTTATGCTTTCACCAGTCCTTTACACAAGGAACATAAAGAAATCTAGTTCAAAATCTTTTACCTTTCTAACCCTTTTGCTTTTCTTTATTTTAAACAAAATTTATCATTAATTTTAGTTTGTTCCAATGGATTCGAAATTTCTTTTCCACTTATAGGATGAATTGTTTGTAGTTGTCTCGAAATAGATTTAATCTATTTTCATCAAAACTTACATCTCTTGATTCAATAACAGTGTTAACTGAAATTGAATCATTTGGTCCAATAACCATGAACCTATATGCTTTACTATTTTGTGCATATCTTATAAATATGCATTATATTCCTCTTTCACCAAACTTTTTCCTTTTGGGTTCTGAAAATTTAACTATAGCTCTACATCTCTAAACCTTTAAATAATTAATATTTGGTTTTCTTTTCTTCTATTGCTCATATGAAGTTATTTTTGTTTCTTTGTTAGGAATTCTATTTAGATATGACAAGCTATTAATAAAGTTTTATCTCAGAATCCTTGTCCAATATCAAATATGATAATATTGCATTTACCATTTTTGTTAAGACCCTATTCTTCTTTTCAGCTACTCCATTTTATTGTGACGTATAAAGAACAATAATGTGGTGAATTATTCTAGTGGATTCAAAGTAACTTGGACTATAATATTCTCCGCCCTTAGTTGACCTCAAGCACTTGATAAAAAATTCACACTAAAGTTCTACTTTAGATATATATTTTTAAACTTATCAAGTATTTCATTTTTGAAATATAACAGATAAACATAACAATGTCTAGTACAAATTTTTATAAATGTGATAAAACATTTCTTTTCAAATAATGTAGGAGTTATGCATGTCATAAACATAATTGTGAGTTAACTTAAGTAACTTTGTATTTCTTT